TGGCCCCAGACTGCCATAGAGGAGGGTCTGACAATTCCCCATGACCCAAAGAGGGTCAGATGCGGACTGCTTGGACCAATTGACACACCTAGAATTGACAGCGGTGAAGGGGAACTCTCTCAGCTGATAAAAGTGGGACTAACCCCCAAAATCACAAGAGATAAAGTTCTTTTTAGTATATTACAGCAAAGGCAGGTGACAGGTGAACCCAAATCACCCTCCCTTTTTTTCTGTCACTAGGATTCTATAAAGCCACTCCCCATCCCACTATCCCAATTGATTTAGAGAAACCCCAGGTCCTGAACAGAAGAAGGAGTGGAGAAACTCCAAACCGACTGAGTTTAAGCTTGAGGAGACAGAGAAACCCCCTACGTGATTGAGTTTATCTAGAATTAAATAGATTTGAGTTTCCTGCTACTAGACAACGTGGGGGTTCCAGATAGATACGAAGTTTAATTATGAGAGGAAATATTTTAAAAGCTACATTTTTGATTCACTTGTGCCATAGATTGAAAATCCATACTGCTATACAGATAGGAAATGATCAAAGAAGTAATCATTGCTTCTGTCGGTAGCAGAGGGAGAAATGTAAACCAGCGAAAAGAGCCAAGCTTGCTCTTGGCCAAGTGTGTGGTACAAGTGGGGACACTATCTTAAAAACCAGACACTCAGACCCTGCTGGTATGGTGGATAATGGGAGGTGATTTCTGTAAATCTGCTATATATATATATATATATATATATATATATATAATGAAGGCTTTAAATTATTTATGTTTTTGCCATCCTGCTTTTAGGTATCAGGCTTAAGAAAGTAACCAGATATCATTGTGACTGCTATTTGAGGACTAGAGAAAGAGAGAAATCAGTTAGGGCACTGGCTGTACATTGTCCCTAGCAACAAATGCTGATCTCTGGCACTTGAGTGATGGCAGTGGGGATGGGAGACACGTAGGAAATTGGGTGTTTTTTTTTTAGAGTTAAGACTTGTTGATGGACTAAATGCGTGTGACAGGTAGGGTGCGATGTTTAGTTTTTGGCTTAAGCACCTGGGTGGATAACAGTGGCCTTTACTAATGTGGAGAAGGTTAGAGACAGAAACAGTTTTTTGAGGAGAGGGTAGAAATCAAGAGGTTTCCTATAGCTCATCTGAGTGTCTGATGCTATGAAATATCCACAAGGTTCTGTCTCTTTGACATCTAGGCCTGGAACTTGTTGGAGTGGACAGGGTGAGAAATATTAATTTGAGAATCATGAACATAAAGACAGCATTTAAAGCCATGGGACTGATGAGATCATTTGCTGAATGAGTTACTGAATATAAATAGAGTGAATCAAATGGATGATAGGACCATATGTGTAAGATTATTAGAGATTTTTATTTTCTTCTTTATTGTGTTCTGTATTTTTAAAGATGTTCACAATGAAAATATATTACTTAAAAATTTTGTTTTGATGTTTATTTATTTTTGAGAGAGAGAAAGACACACACACAATGTGACTCGGGGAGGGGCAGAGAGTGAGGCACAGAATTCGAAGCAGGCTCCAGGCTCTGAGCTGTCAGCACAGAGCCCAGCACAGGGCTCGAACTCATGGTCCATGAGATCATGACCTGAGCTAAGTCGAACACTTAAGCAACTGAACCATCCAGGCGACCCGAAAATATATTACGTTTATAATCAGAAAACAAGTAAAGTCACAATAAATCTGCTCCTGGCACTCTGAAACACAGCTATGCAGCTTCTTTGCTTCTTTTCTCAGAAAAAGCATTTCACCTCAGTTGGGCCTTAAAAATATTAATGTGCTTATTTAATTGGGAATCTTAGAGTCAGTGTTTGCATGAAAATCAACATCCTCACCTCTTCTGCAGTGCAAATGAGCCACTCATTTTCTGCTCTCACCTAACCTGCATCTTGCTGCTGATTGAACCTGTGCCTAATTATGTGTTGCTCCTTGAGTTCTGGAGTATGTAATAGCAATGTTTATTTGCCAAGGTTGACAGTGATGACTAAGTCGTTTCCCTCTTCGTGGTTTTTTTTTTTTTTTCCCTTTTTAAGTGAAAGAGAGAGTAACCCTGTCTGTCGTGCCCACAACACAGCACGTTGATGGGGTTGTCTCTGGTTAGTGAGAGCTGGGGCAGGAACTCAAGCATCACAGGGTATTTTGTCAGAAGCCCTGGTGAGAAGGAGTTTCTGTAAGTCATCTGGGATGAGGCAAAAGGGCCTCTTGGCCTGAATATTTATTCATTCAACTAACATTCAGCACATCCCCACAATGCTCCTGGCCCTACCCTGAGCAATGACAGAGATAAATATGATCCTAGAATGTTAAGTCTAGTGATTCAGTTTGAGTCCCATTTGTTAAGGGTCATGATGAGGGAAGTGTGGGGCAATATGGAAACACATAACCTGGGGAGTGTGGTTCAGGGTCAAGGCTACCTGGAAAGGATAATAATAGCTAGCATTTGTCAAACTGCCAGGCACAGTTTTTCATGCTTTATGTGGTTTGACTCATTCATTCTTCCAACAACCTGTGAAGAAGGTACCATTATTATGCTCATTTTATGGGATAAAAACCTGAAGCTCGGAGTGGTTAAACCTCAGCTGAGTAGCCAAGGGCAAGAGGAGTTAGGTTGAAGGTGGAGGGAAGAGTTCCAGGCAATTGGAGCAGTGTGTGGAAAGGCATGGTGCATTCATGGATAGCGCGTGAGGAATGGCTGGGAGACTGACTACAGGATGTTTACTGTCACCGGCATCTGTGGGGCAGGGGCCCAGAGGACGGAGCTAGAGGGGCTTGAGAGGCAGTAAGAAAGGAAGCAACAAGGGCGCCTGGGTGGTTCAGTTGGCTAAGCGTCTGGCTTCTGCTCAGGTCATGATCTCACGGCTTGTGGGTTCAAGCCCCATATCAGGGCTCTGTGCTGACAGCTCAGAGCCTGGAGCCTGCTTTAGATTCTGTCTCCCTCTCTCTCTGCCCCTCTCCCGCTCATGCTCTGTCTCTCAAAAATAAATAAAAATGTTAAAAAAAAATTTTTTTTAAAAGAAAGGAAGAGACAGAATCAGATTTGCCTCGGCTTTGGCTGCCTTGCGTGGCCTGGTTAGATGGGAGGAAACCAGGCAGGAAGTGGTGGTAGCGGCCGCACTTGGATTCAAGCGGCAGGTGGATTCAAGGGGTGTGGTGCTGCGGACGACTGGGTCTGGGGAGGTGCCGAAGGGGAGGAGCTGGAGTGAGTGTCCAGACTTCTCCTTGGGTGGCTAGGTAAGAGGCAGTGTTTCCCGAGACCGGGAGCCCCAGGGGAGGACCGCACCTTGTGTGCACAGATGGTGCCTGAGGTTTGTTCTTTGAGGCACCTTGAGCCTGGGTCTCTGGGGAACAGAGAGAACAATGCCCAGGGAAGCAGTGAACAGTGAGTATATGGACGGAGACCCGAACCCGAAAACAAACAAGCCAATCAGCGGACTCCTTGATCTGTCTCTGAGCCGACATCTGAATTGTTAAAACTTAAGGAGAGGGAGACCTTGAAAATCTTCATAAAAGCAAGGGATGGTAAATCGAAATTAATTGGATAGCACTTGTTATTTGTGATTTAATATGTGTTAAATGTCACGGATTTTTTTTTTTTTAACTCTATTTTAGGAGAAGTTAAAAATACATCTTCACAAGACATTTCATAGGTTTGCTGCTGTTGTGGCCCCTACCTTCTCCCCAGTTCTCTGGAAGGTCTTTATTTCTCCAAACCGCAATTCTCCTACTCTGGCAGTTTCCATAAACCCGTTCTTTGAGGTAGGGGAGGCAGTGCTCTATATGTCTCTCTATACAATCTTTGTAATATGTATGTGACTAGGTACTTTTATCTCCACTTACACAGATGGGAAAACTGAGGTTTAGGGAGGTTCACTCCCCACGTAAGTTAGCGGACGAGGCAGTATTTAAACTGAGGCAGCCTAGCACACACAGCACTCTTAACCAGCGCTGCTATATTTATCTACCATCTACAGGCACGTTAATCAAATCCCAAGCTCCATGCCCTTCCTCATGCCCCATGATGCCTCCAACATTTTGACATCCGGGTTAGCATCAGAAAGCCCATGGGGGTGGAGTATCCTCTCTGATGCAAGTCTGAAAAGGCAGTGGGTGACTGTTGACCGTTGACCAGGACCCACAGGATTTAGATAAGGTTTTCCCCTTTTCCTCTCTTTGCCCTCTGACGACCTCTCTTCTCTTCTGGCCCCAGTGCTATTCTTTACTCAGCATCTCCTCTTCCAAAGTGCCCAGCTGCCTCCAGGCTGGCGCCTTCAGGGACAGACGGACACAGAGAGGCAGGGATTCCCAACTGGACGGGCCACTGGGGGCCAAGAGTCCTGGGGAGACGTGGATGGGCCCAGGCCTGTAGCTGCAGTCTTCTAAACAGCCCCCTGGAGTAGACTCTCTCAGCTTCGGGGAAAGGTCAGAATTTCAATCTTGTGTTTTCACACATCTTAAATGGATTTCAGAGGCACTGGCACTGCCCTGCTCCTCTCTCTAAACAATGTGGTTAAGCTGCTGTAGCGTTGCTAGAGGCTGCATTCCTCCTGCATTGTGATGTGGTTTTTGGAAGTCATGCATGCAGTTAGCTAACCAAACTAAGCTGTTTCATTAATGGGAGCAAACTCAAGAGAGAAATCGTGAATAGGAACAAGGCGAGTTTGCTTTCCACCCCTAATTCAAAAAACCAGATAATTAAGTAGGCGGAGAAAGGAAGTATCCCTTCTGATTCCAAGAGCTGGCTCTCTCTGTCTCTCCATTTCCTTTCTTTATTAGGTGGTGATGGTGGTTGTGGGGTGTGTGTGTGTGTGTGTGTGTGTGTGTCGGGCGGTGGGGCGGTGGGGGGGGGGGGCGGCATGGCAGTGGTGCGGGGATGGTGAGGGAATTCCTAGCAAAAGATCTATTACCCCAGACCCTTGGAGTCAGGTGTTTCTATCATGTTTTCTGTTCTGTTCCGCTTCCCTGTCCCCTCCACTCAGTTCTACCCCACCCTCAGTAGCAGCTCCAAATCTCCACCGGCCAACTCATCCCCCACCTGTCACTTTGGATCCCACCTCAAAGACAAGGCTCATCAGCATGAACTCAGTCCCCACCTACATCTTCCACCTATGGATGCACATGGAGATCACGTTCCTCTCCTCTTCTCTGCCTAGGAGGAAAGAGTCCCTGTCTGTCTGCAAAGCTCACTGCTCTCCTATGGCCTGACACCCACTATGAATCTGCCTGCCAGTTACCCTTTGCTATCATGGCTCCTTCCCTCAGTATAATAAACACGTCCAACTCGCTCGTATTCCAAGAAAACCTCTTCCCTCAAGCCTGCCTCTGGACCCATCTTCCCCACCCTTGGGGCTTGCTTTCACCACCACACATCTTAACAGTCTACCCACTTGTCAAAGCCACACATCTCCACTGCCGTCACCTCCGGTTCTGGCTTCTGCGTCTCCTACCCCGTGGCTGGTGGCCACTGATGCCAAATGTTCAGACCCACTGGATCTCCCCATCCGTTTCCTATTCACATCTGAGCAAGACGGCAGGAGGATGGCCGAAGTGACCTCTCGAGGGGGGACTGCCGGTTCAGTCTTCTGATGTTTTTTTCAGAGAGCCGAGACTTTCAGACAAAGACATTTTTCATCTACCAGGCTGCATATTTTTACTTAGATATTTAAAAAAGCAATCTCAAGCTTTCCGAAAGAAAATGTAACATAGATGCCAAATCAGATGAGAACTAACACTTGGTATCAACAGGAATACATTTGAATTTAAAAAGGCTAGCTGCATCTGACAGCAGTGTGTCTCAGCTAAAGTCTAAGCTGGAGTGGGGGGGTGGGGAAGAGAAGAGTCTTCAATAAATAAATGTTTATTGAGACGGGGGCAGGTGATAAGTAGAGTGACTCTATCATGTGACGCATAGAGAGTCAAGGAAGGCTTCACATCAGAAGTTACAGTTGGGCTGGGTCTTATAGGGCAGGTAATTTCTGGTAAATCTGAGTTCACTGAAGGCAGAGGGAACGGCATGTGCAGAGAGCAGGATGTTTGGAAAAGAACTGACATTTTCGGGGAATAATGAGCATGATACTTTGAAGCGTCTTACGGTCTCTAGGATCGAGTGCTGTCCTCTGTATCACAGCCCTGGGAGAGCTGCAATTGTAATTTTTGTTAAACTCAGGGCTGAAGACCCTCCAAATGTGTATGAGGAACCAATTTCTTGCGTCCTTTCCTAAATCCAATGTGAGCTTTCAGATGGACAGAGGAAAGGTGTTCACAATCAAGGCCATCTCTCCCCAGGGTGGCCAGGATCAACAGAGGTGGCTAATGGCCCAGCAAGCCCCAGCACCTCCTGCAGTACATCTTCCCCACGTTGCACCTCCGGCTTCACTATTCATGAACTGTCAGAAGAAAGGGGCTGTGTGTATCGTTCGTTGTCACACAGTGACTTCCACCAAATATTTGCTCAAAAATATTGGTTAAGTGCAGGGGTTAACAGGACCTGCATCTTGTGCTTTGCAAAGGATGGAAGGTTTCTGACCACTCCCCACCCCCACCCCCACCTGTTTCTGAAGGAACACTTCTATGAAGTTCCTGATTATGGTAGAGATTGTCAGCCCAGGTGGACTTCCTGGGCACACAGTTAGACAAGACCACACACTTAACCCCTTTCTTGCGATTAGATGGGGCCACGTGACCAGGAAAGTGAGAAGTGATCGGTGCTACTTCCTGGAGGAGGCATTTGAGGAAGTGTATCAGCCAAAGCTCTCAACAATGATCCTAGGATTCGTGTATTGAAAGGATAGCATCATTAGATGAGTGTGGATTCCTGAGTCACCAGAAGGAAGCATACCTCACACTGACCCTCATGAGAACATGTGGAAGAATTAAATCTCTATGGTTCCAAGGAGTTGCCCTGTTGCAGTCCCTACCATGATTAATGTATCAGTATATTCCACTTACTTTCCATAAAACAAAGTGGGAGTATGGATTAGACATCAACTCAATACAGACACTGTTATTTGATGGAGGCCACAAGAGAACAGCTGTCAATGGACAAGTTCTACGTCACTTTCTCTCCTTTAGAAAAACACAAAGAAACTTCTCAGCTTGCAGTTTTGGAAAAGGTTGAGTATCTCTTGAGCATTTGAAAGTAAATGTGAATGTGAATGTGATTCTTGATTGATCTTTCATTTCCTTGCCTACCAGGAAGCTCTGAGCCAAATACATCGTTTATGTATGGCCTCTCAGAATGCATTTTTGTCAGTTCTCCTCCATAATTACTTTGCTACTCAGTCCTCATTTTCCCTTTGGGTTCTGATTTATCCAAATTTCTGTTTTCTGTGTTTTATGCTCTTTTAAGTGTCTTAAAAACTCTCCTCTGTGGAAGGGATAAGGAGGACAAGGAAAGTTGAGAACCAAATTTTTAGAACGAGTTCTGGACAAATGATCTGTGAGCCTTTCTTCTCCTAACCCTGGTGAAGGCAGATCGTATAAATCAGCTGAGTTTAACAATCAGTGATGTTGGTTTTAATTTACTCTTCTAGTTTTCATGACTATTAATTTTTCCTTTGATTTATAACAGTGTAGCTCAAAGAATATGTTAATGATAATAATAATTACTGGTGTAAGATAGTTGGTGGCAGTAGTTTAAAATAACTATGCTCATAGATTCAGGGTCCCCAGATGACATTTATTCATTAGTACTTCCTCCTTCTCGAGCTTCATATAGCACTTTGATTCACATTTTTGGTGGAAAACCTTCCCTCCATAAAATTCCCCCAATTGGTGATAAATATCTGATGTAGAAATATTAACTTTAAAACTCCCAGCTCATACCTCACCTTACTATTACCTTTGCTTTCCATACCTGTGTAGACTCAGTGGCTTGAATTAGCTCTCCTGTACATGCACTGAAAGACAACACTGTTATTATTCCCACATTTCTTATCTGTAAATGATCTACAACAGATGCACATAAACACATGTGAAAAAAATTCTTTATTAATTTCTCACATTTCATTACAAAATGTATGTTGCAAACAACTTGAATAACCTACTGGTGTGTTTTGTTGTTTTTTAAACCCTTGGCTTCAAGAACTCAGAATCTCCCTCTCTCCTATCAAGTATTGGGAAACACTGATTATTGGAGTCAACAGGTTCTCATTTTGCTATTTATCTTCTCTCAAGCTCTGAAAAAAAAATGTCCTCTGTATAAATTAAACAAAAAAATGTTGTAAATTCTATGTCATTACAGTCAACAGAATTATAATAATGCATCCAAAATGTGCGGCCACAAAATATCAGGTATATGTTTGAAAAAAGAAAAAAATGACATTCTAGCCTTGTTAAAAGGATAATGGTCCCATATTTTTATTAACAGGTTAGCAAAACAAAATCCAATGGATTACAATATTTACATGTTATTTGAAAAATAAAGTAGTGATAAAAGCATGTCACAATTATTTTCTGGTTTTTTTTCCTTTTTCTTTCTTTCTTTCCTTTTTTTTTTTGCTTGATTTTTTTTTTTTTTTTTTTTTTTTTTTTTTTTTTTTTGGTAACCATACAAACACCCAATCCAGGTATGGAACTGTTTAATACATTTGAAATGAGGCCAATTAAAAACAAATATGGACACAAAATGTTATCTTTGTCTAGATCACACTTTCCCCATTGTCTGGTTTCCACATGATGGCCCCCATCCCTAAAAAAAAAAAAATTAAATTAAAAGAAACTCCCTACAAATAAAACTTTTTAACAGCAAGAAAATAAAAGAAGAACATGCTTTTCAAGTAAGCACCTATTCCACAAATGCAATATCTTTCCATGGATTTTATTTGAAGCTGTGTGGGACACTGTCATCTCAGGATTCCCTGCCCCTTTCTTCCCTCCCCCTCCCACAACCCTTCCAAGTAAAAAAAAAAAACAAAAAACAAAAAACAAAAAAACAAAACATGAAAACCAAAGGACTCACACACACGCATACACACGAGCACACACACATCCAAGCACACACGCACACAGGCTTCTATAACCTAGGCTTCAAGGAAAGTTCTTTTCTACTTTTTGGAATGAAACCCTTTGTTCACAATCAGAACATATTATAAATGTAGACTTAGATTTAGTCTAAGCTGCTCCCTCCTGAAAAAGCTAATATTGGGAAACAGAGCAGCTGGCAGCTACATTTAAAAAAAAAAAAAAAAAAAAAAAAAGTAGTTCTCCAGGCTCCTTATAGGATATAAGTATTTCTTGTCCACTCACCAAAGGGATGGGATTCTAGCATATCCCCTTGTTCCACAAAATAAATGAAAAAACCCTCCCCCAAAACACAATGCAAACAAAAACAGAACACAGATTTTTAAATCACACACAAAAGCCAGCCCATCCTAACAGAAATTATTTGTGTGAGACGGATAATGTGTTAATTGACAAGCAACAAAAGGGTGAAGAGGACTTCCTCGTCTGGCCCACAAGCTGCATAGCTGTGCCGAAAAGTTTGGTTCTTTAGTTAAATTAAGGGGAAAAAAAAAGTTAACTTCTTTGTTATTTCCATGTTTAAAATAAAGACATTCCTATTCACAAAAAACTAAATCTCCCTTACCCCCAAATTAAAACAACAATAACACGCACATAAAAAACAATTTATGTGAAAACTGAATTGTGCTGTGTTTGTAACACTCAAATTGATAGAAAATAAACATGTGGCAAACAAAACTCCACAGTCACCGTAAAATTAGCTCACATGAATCTACCAAATTCTAAATTATAGTTGAACACTAATAAACAGCTTACCTGGAATAAAGGATGACAATTCACAAACAGTTATCTAATAATTAAAGTCTGTTTCTTTTTTTTGTTTTGTTTTTTACTAAAATAATTAAAAAAATCACAGTATTTTAAGAAATAAAACCCACGTGGGGATTTTAAGCACAATTTGTGTTCCTTTCTTTAAAACTCTCTTTTTTTTTTCTCCATTCACCGTCTTGCCCAGCAGTTCTCTCTACATTTAACCACAACGACGACAGGTAGTACTGACAAATGCAGAGAATTCCCTTGGTTAAGTTTGAGGTACTAGGAAACAGGTGACTGTTTTATGCAAAGCAGTTTTTTTGTTTTCTGTTTTTGTTTTTTGTTTTTTTGTGTTTTTTTTTTTTGTTTGTTTGTTTTTTCCCAAAGCGGCTGCAGTTAGGTCTTGAAAAAGCTTAAGGTATTAAAACTAGAAAAACGCACCGAAAGATGTGCGTCAAAAAGTTGTTCCCCTAAGAGAAGTCTTGTACTGTCACGGAGCTTCTGTTTCCACATCCTGTCCAAGACCACCACAGAGCACACCGTGTGCATGGGAGGTGCTTCCATATTCCGCAACAAATGACACTTCCATGATGAAGATCCGGAAGAAAAGGTGTAGTGATGGAAAAGGAGCCACATATTCCAACCATTTAAATAACTTTAATTTACATACTCACTCACACAGGTACCAGTGCTTTGAAAATAGATTGTTCAGTCCTAAAAAGCAGCTTTGTTCTGTCTTCTTTTCTGTCCCCGCCCTTCTCAGCCCAAGCTGGCCCTCCCCACTTTCTCATCACGGTTCAAGTACGGTTTGATTAAGAAGTTCACCAAACGCTTATTCTTTTTTGGCCTCTGCATTCTCCAGGAGAGATTTGTCAGCAGCTACTACACAGATGGCTACTGTTTCACTCTTTAGGGAAAAGTCTATCCCGATTGCCTCATCATCTTCCTTTTCCTCTATAGAGGGCATCTTAATACTGTCCTCCACACTCTCCTTCAGGTGGATTTCTTCTCTGCTCACCTGCTTGGTGTCATTCAACGCCCTGGAGAAACAGTGATGGTAGAGA